GTACACAGATGTTTCCTTTTTGCTATAGCGTTATAGAAAAGACTTTTTCAAAAAAACAGCCATGTAGTGCAGTAGCCAGAGATTTAAGTTTTCGATAATTACTGGAAGGGCAATGAAAAAACTTTATCCAGTGAAAGATATCGTCTTTTCATTTGTCGTCAGATAACAGAAAACAACCCGAGTTTGTTGTTCTAACCCCTGTTCGGCTAACTTTTCGACTTCTTTGTCGGAGAAGAAGGGAAGAAGAAGACGTAGGAGCCGTCTACTGACGTGGGCAACGACGTCGAAGCGTTAGTCAGATGGAGGACAGACAAGAACATCATGGGATGTGCAGCAGCGCAGTGGTCAGTGATGCAGTGAATCGGGAAAGTGGAGGTGATAAGCAAAGCGCTGGTTCATCTCCACACGATACCTTCGCAATCAATCTGCTGAACGCCTTAGCTCGACTTTCTCTAGATTGCAGGTAGAACCGTCTTGACGAGTATTTCATGACATCCAAAAAGAAGACGAAATCCTCAAGCAACAGCCGAAGAGACAGTTGAAGTGCTCGGAAACCTTTGTGACGGACGAATAAGCGAAAAAGAATTGTATAGCAGAAATTCTGGGATCCGCTATCGATGACGTGATAACGGGTGGTGTGAAGCAAATGAACAGGAGAAGCAACATTGTGTAATTCACGATCTTCCTTCTGTCGAGGTTCTCGTAATCCAATATATTCAAACGGTTGACGTTTCGTCGGCTTTGCCTGATTTCCTGCTGATGTAATGAATATACTTGACTGAAATCATTTTATTTGACGACTATTGCGGTGTTATGATGTTTCATAAACCCAATGATGTAGAGCGGTGTGCAAAAACGTTTGTGTCAGCCGGGATTCGAACTCAGATCTTACTCTGATCTTTGTTCTTGATCACATCTGGGTTCGAATCGCGGCTGACGCAAACGTTTTTGCACATCACTCTACATCATTGGGTTTATACTTGACTGACTAAATTGAGAGCAACCTGATCTTTCTAGGCTCTGAAGAAGGCAAAATTGCCGAAACGTTAGCCGTTTGAAAAAAATGTTTCACAATGGACTCGTGCTGAGTTTACAAAAAATTGTGAGTCATGGAGAACGCCGAGGTTAGATCTTTGAGGACTATGAGGGTCATTTTTGTCCCTCAACTTTTCAAAACATCTTTCGGTGGGCAAACTTCTCAAGTAGAATTCTAACAGTTATTGGAGAGCTTAACTCTCGGCGATTTTTATACCGTAGATTGGCCTTTAAAAAGCCATTTAGTGCTTTGTAGCAGCAAAAATAGAATTTGTTTCGCGCTCAGAGTGCTTCGTTTGCAAGGCTAGACTCTGTGGATGGTTTTTCACTAGATTATGTTGTTACTCATTCTATAGCACAAATATCGGTGATTTCGAAGTTGAAATCCTTTCTTTTTCCTTCTTTTTTTTTGGAATTATTTTGGATGTTTATTGCGAGGTTTTGAAACAGTCGATCTTGTGGGTCAATTTTGCTATGCCATCACCACATACGCCTCCCTCCTTGGTACGATGCAGGGCTTAATGTGGGGCGAGGGTCACTGACGAGGAGGCCGAAACCTCCGAAACACGGTGTATGGCCCTGGCGTACCAACCTCGTTTAGGCTCTAGACATTCTTTTTTTGGAAGTTAAAATTGCTTTTCAAGGAGGTCTTCATGGTGCGGAACAGGAGCAAAATGAAAATTACGCTTCACATTCGAAGTTCTCTTCGCATATAAGAGTAACTAATATACGAAATTGATTTTTGGGTAGGGAAATCACATAGTATCAGAGTAATAAAAAGAAGCTAGAGTTTGTTCTTAAAACAAAGGAAAAAGCCCTTATTAGAAACGAAAATCACACGCAGTTTGCTAAAATCGATGAACTGCCGTCCGCAAAGAGTCATACCCGGTCTTGGGAACACCGTGTAGGCTGAACAATCCAGACAAATACATCGCCTAAATAATCTTCTCGGATTCGTGGACCCTCGGCCTCGGCATCTCTAACTGGTAACTCAGGACGGTCTGCCCCACCTCCACTGAATCTCTAACCCTCAGCGTGCCACTGTTGGACGGAGCACGCTGGGGTTCGAGATGGAGTGGAGGTGGGGCAGACCGTCTGGAGTTACCAGTTAGAGACGCCGAGGCTAAGGGTCCACGGTCCCGAAAGGGTCAGAGAATTTCTCTCATCACTTACGTCTGGCACAATCGTATGCTGTAGAGACATTCTTGTTCATAAGATAATTTGTCTTTGTTCCATTTTTGTGCCGGAATGTGACGACGATCTTCTCAACTGTTCGTCCATCCTGTTTCAAACGGCTCCGGATATCATCGAACAACTCGCTGCTTAGTTCGAATCGTGGTGTTGACACCAGAGCTGGAACCTCTTCAACTTTTCACAATGACAGCATTTAGAAGATTCAATATAAAAGGATAAAGGAATAAGTTCTCGGGGTTGATCAATCCATGAGGGATTCGCACGCATTCTACTCCATTCCTAACATCGTTAGCGGCTAATAAATGGATATCTGGCATTTGCAATGACTGGCGCTGGGCCTACCAGTGTGTCAAGACAGTGCTGTTATCCCCTCAGACAAGTCCGGTACCAATTCACACAGCTCGAAGAGATGGAAGGCTTGGTGAGCCTTAGCGCGGGATCGAAACCCCGCCCTCTTGTGTGTCACAGAGCACCTCAACCACTAGGCCAGACGTTCTCATGGACTTTATGCCACTTCAAAGATACCTGTTTTATTAGCAGTCGCTACAGCACGACACTGAGCCCTCCCTAACGTAGTTGGTAGTGTTCGGAACATTTCCTGAAATCAAATAGCATTAGAATATACTATTTATCGTATGGATTGGAATGATGGGACGACTACTAAGCGATGTCCAGGGTCTATTCGAATGGAACAAAGTAAGATGTAACAGCATATACCGAATTTCACATCTATTTTGCTTATTTTTTTTATTAGAACTTTGTGATTGCGGTGGAACCGAGACGAGTAAAACAATTTCCTATGCAGTAGCGATTAACCCTTTCGGGAACGTAAACTCACCTCTGCATTTCCTAACCCAGCGTGGCAACGCTGGACGATCTGCTCCACCTCCTCTGCATCTCTAACGGCCAGCGTGGCAGCGCGTTAACTGCTTTATTGTATTATTTCCAATGCATTACTACTGTTATTTTCCTGCTTACAACAACATAATACCGAAAATAGCAACAATTTTACAAAGGAAATAATACAATAATACATTCAATGCGTTCCACGCCGGGGGCTAGAGATGCCAGGAGGTGGGGCAGACCGTCAGCGTTGCCACGCCGGGGGTCAGAGATGCAGAGGAGATGGGCTCCCGGTTCCGAGTGGCCTAACTACTAAATCTACTGCCATATCTAGACAGTAAACATAAGATGACAAGGAAACATTAACCAGGGAGGAGAAGGAGAAAGGATGGGGAGGGGGCGCCTTGGCCGAATGGTTGTGGTGCTCGTCGTGGCGCGCGGGCATAACGCTGCTCCGCCTCCAGTCTCTCCGGCAATCAACAACGAACACCCCATGGAACGCCACAGCCAGGCTATCCTCGAGATTGCAAGAAGCCGTGCTCAACCAGTATTCGATGACGTGCAAGAAGAAGACAAAAAAATGAACTGAATGTGAGGTACACGGATCAGCAGGGTCAAAAAGAACACTATCAAGACGGACCGATGAAATGCCAAACTGCTCTAACCAACTGACTCGACCTACTGTCTCTTTCTAAATTCAAGGAGGGCTAAATATCCCTCTAATACTCCGCTTGGCCCCTATCATAGTCTGTTTAGCTGCGCAGGTCCCAGTACTTCTAGCATTCAATTTGTTTCGTCGCGTTCATCGCTTAACTGAGGATTTCATCTTCTGCACGAACGTCGTGGAATACTGATTGAGCATATCTTCTTGCAATCTTGAGGATAGCCAGGATGGGGCGTTCGTTATTGATTGCCGCGGAGTGCTCACGGTGAGAGGTCGACCCCTTATTGATTGCCGCGAGTGCTGACGGTCAGGAGTTGGCCCGCGCCTAGTCGCATCCCCCCGACTGTCTATAGATATGCATAAGCGATAGATACAAAGAAGTGATTATATATAAATAAACAAATTAAAATGGTTTATATTCAACCGCTTTTTTGCGGTGGTATGATGTAATGAATATATAAACCCAGTGTTATAGAGTGATGTGCAAAACTTTAGCGCCAGGCGAGACTAGAACCCGCACCTCACTTATTCTGGGAATGCGTGCTCTATCCGTTACACTACTGACGACGATTTTGCCACATCCCTCTTCTACGCTAAAGCCGCACCCGATCTGTAAATCTCTAGAGCGACACGATCAGTGCTCTTTAGCGTAGAAAGCGCGATGTGCAAAATGGGTGCCAATAGTGTAACGGGTAGAGCATGCTTTACCGGAAAAAGTGAGATGCGTGTTCTAGTCCCACCTGGCGCTAAAGTTTTGCACATCACTCTGTAACACTGGGTTATAAATAAACAGATGATTTATTGGCTATATAGGTCTAGGAACATACAAAAAAGGGATATAGAAATGACAAGAATGCAGCAATCTCTATAGACGTAGCCCTTTAAGGACCAAACGGTACGTTTCGTACCGTGCTGCGAGACGTCAAATCTCGACTACTGTAATGGCAACGCCCCGTCTCGTGAGAAAGCGACGGAGCGATGCCGCGTGCTCGTCAGCGCTGGTCCTCATAGGGATAGACACTGGGGGCTGAACTAGGTAGGTATACCTAACTAGTAGTAACTCAACCTGCTGAGCTGTCTAGACTATGAATATAGAATAACAGGCGAAAATAAATAGATAAATAATACATGTACACAATGAGGATGAGTGACGTGCAAAACTTTGACGTCAGGTGGGAACGAAACCGTATTTTACCCTTTCTGCTTCCGGCTGCTTGCTGACAGATTGATGCGTTGTAGCGTGGAAAAGGTGGTGGCAAAACAGGCATCAGTAGCGCAGTTGGTTAAGCACGCACCGCTCCTGGAAAGGACGAAGTGCGGGTTCGAGTCCCGCGTGACGTGAAAGTTTTGCACATGACTCAAGATCATTGGGTATACTTGTGACATCATAAAACAGCTAAATAAAGGGTTGAATAAGAAGAATGCTGTTTGATTATAGTTGAATTGATTAACCCTTACGGGACCGTGGACCCACGACCTCTGCGTCTCTAACCATCGACGCGTTGCGTCTGACAATGGCATCTAATGGCGTCTGCCATCTATTACAAAATAAAAACGTCAGAATAGTGATAATATCAATAATATTAGTCTTTAGAGTGCAATAATAAATATAGTGCATTATATAATATTAACTATTCTAATAATAGATAACTGCACGGATAGACCAAAAGAGATTAACTATATTATTTTACACTTCAATATTTATTGCTGATAGGAGACCGAGCCAGCGCAGCGATCGTCAAATCGCTTTCTAATGCTCTTCATCATTAACCACTGCGTCACCTCACCCCCATGCAATCAAGTTCGATGCATGATAACAATACTATCTTAACACCAACGACAAAAAAAGCTTTCGGCATTGGTCAATCCCTGAGGGATGCGCCATGTATTTGTCTTCAATTTTACTTCGTTTGAGGTGATTTATTCATACTTGGCCTTTACAACGACTCGCGGTGGCCTCCCGCTGAACCGAGTCAGTGCTGCTTATCCTCCCAGACAAGTCTGAGACCTGCCTGGTATCAATTTACCGACCCCGGAGGGACGGATGGCTTGGTGAGCCATGAGCGCGAGATCGAACCACTGACCTTGTGTGCGACGCAGGGCACCTCTAACCACTGCGCCATATGCGCTCTTCTCAACACCAAAGACAGCAAAGATACAAAGAGCGGATGAGAGGACAATTGAAAACCCATCTCATTTTCTGGAGAAAAACTTTTCATAGGAGTATTAGTAACCATTCGAAAGCTGAGACTTCAGGCTACAGGGCCACGTCGACGATTATTGGAAGCAGGCTTTTATAACCTTGTAGCATCCAAATCAGAAATTACGTTCCACACTCGCCTTTTGCCCTCATTTTCACCACGCGTACACGTCACCGGAAGATGAAAAGCATATCAATGTATAGAGAAATCTTCATAGTACCTTAGTCAGTCGTTTTATCTCGAGTTTCTGTCGAAGTGGAGGAGAAATTCCCAATTAAATTAGGAAATATTGATCGTTCCGCCGCCTCGCCCCACCCTCTGCCACGCCCCTTGCCGTGGCCCTCGCCTTGTCGATTAAGCCCGTAAACAAGGTTGCGGAGAAATGTAGAACTTCACCTTATTTTCTCTGGCTAAAGCGTATTTCCCGAAAATGAGCACATCGCTAGAATCAGAAAAAATTGCGCTATCGGATGATTACGAGTAGTCAAAGAAAGAGCTTTGCCCGGCGAGGCTCGAAGCAAAAATCAATAGATCACAGGGAAGATCAAGAGATTAGAAGAGCTTTTCGGAAAGCGGAGGCACATTTTTGAATTATTTGAAGCTTGTGATCTACTTTGAGCACTAGCACTCTAACGAACGAGCTTTGTCCAGCGAGATATGAGAGAGATAAGAGGAAAAAAACGTTGTAGCGTAAAAGAGTGCTCGTGCGAAACGAGCGTCGGTGGTGAAGCGGTTTAGCTAGCACATGCTCCCGGAAAGAGTACAGTTGTGGGTTCGAATCCCGGCTGACGCAAACGTTTTTGCACACCACTCTACATCATCACTGGGTTTATTGAACATCATAGCACCGCAATTGGCGGTGAACTAAAGATGATTTCCGATGGATAAGAGGATAAAACACGTGGTTTTATAAGCAAAGATTTTATTTCGATTATCACAGCTTTATAAAGGGGTGTGTTGAGAAACCGACGGCGTGGGGGTGTAGCCTCAAGTCTCAGCTCTCGAATCGTCACAAGCACTCTTCGAAAAAAGTTCTTCTCCAGCGAATGAGATCGGTTTTTCCATTGCCCACCCTCCCCTTCCTAAAATGAGAAGGAACCGAATAATGTGAAATCCTCGATACTTAAACGAATATAGTGAGACCGACGCGAGGTGACGAGACGACCCGTCGCCTGCGCGACCCGTGCGGCGTCGCGCGGCATTCCCTCTGCGACGACTCTGGTCGAATGTGGACGAGTTTTCGTGCAATCGCCGCGACGTGTTATTTGCTTTTCATGGCAAACATGTTTTCCATAGCTCTCGCATATTTGGTGTTGGTCGCTCGCTTTTCATTAGTGCTGTTGACGTACAGTGTCGTCCTCCGGTGCTCTCGGGAAGATGGTCCCATCGACTTCTAAAATATTCTTTCAAATTGTTTCTTTAACTCTTTGCGAGCGATGACGTCATTTGAACTCTCGAATTCTCACAAACTTCTCCTCTGAACAAAGCCTTCGTATGAAATTTGAGTGATTTTTCCAAGCTTAAATCTCGCCTGCTGATACCAAAGCGTTTGGACTGAATTTTATTCAATTAGAATTAGAAATTAGAATTAGAATTTATTTTAATTACAATTAGAATGTAGAATTGAGAAAAGTATAAATAGATATGTATACCCAAAATGTGGAGTGCTGTGTAGAAACATTTGCATCAGCCCGGATTCGAACCCAGATCTTACTCTTTCCGGGAGCGTATGCTAACCGTTTCACCACCGAAGCTCGCTTTGTCAGTACTCCACATTATTGGGTATACTGTAGCCTCATACCACTGCATGTGGCAGTCAAATAACAAGAATTCTGACGATTAAATAGATAATTGTAGACAAATTGTGTACTGAAATGTTCGCAAGAAAATGCTCAACTGAACGGTACCAAGACCATGCAATTTCGATTCGATCACTTTTACTTACACCCACTCTGGTCCATCACCACTTTTCAGTCGATTGATTTCGACTGGTAGATCAAAACTGACCCATAAGATCGACTGTTTCTAAAACCTCACTATAAACAAAAACGCAACAAACGCAACAACAACAATTGTTTAGTGCGAGGTTCAAAAAACAGTCGATCTTATAGATCAAAATTTTGTTCTACCAGTCAAAAAAATCCATCGACTGAAAAGTGGTGATGGACCAGTGTCATTGTACACTATGCCCTCACCACATACGCCTCCCTCCTTGCTACAATGCAGGGCTTAATGTGGGGCGGGGGTCACTGACGAGGAGGACGTACCTCCGAAACACCGGTGTTTGGCCCTGGCGTACCAACTTCGTTTAGGCTTAAAACATTTTCTTTTTGAATCACTTTTACCTTACTTCGAGTGCTTTGTTTAAACCACGCTCAAATTTCAATAGATCCTATCATTATTATTTGAGCCAGCTTGTCATGTGGTCTGGTAAGGTAACACTCTGTGTTAGGTGAATGTTTCTCTTGACATAGAGTGTAAAGCGTACGTCGTCGATAACTCTCTATAAGGAGTGTAAGGCTCCCGAGAGAACTGACTGTAAAAAGATCGACAGACGTCGAGTTCTGCCTGGCTGATGAGTCTGTAAGGACGAAACACGTGTCTCGGGCTGTACAAGAGCCCGTACCAGACCACATGACATGTTGGCTCAAATAGTGATGAAAGGATCACTTTTACTTAGTTAATTTGGTGTGTATTAGGAACTTATGGAATGATCCAATATTTTCTTCAAATTCCTCATTGTTAGCTTCTTTGCAGAGATTCGTCATTCATCAAGTGCACTTTCGCTAGCATTTTCATATTCGAAACGAAAAAAAGAAGAAATTCTTAGCTCAGTTACAGCTCTTGTTCTATGGATTGTTATTGACCAGTCTTCTAAATGGAAATGCTACATATATGGTCGTAGCCAGCAGATCTGTTTTCAGCTTCATCGCCTGCTTAGTGAAGAATACATCTACCAATACAACAGCCATTAGAAATATTCTAGTGATATTGTCTAGCAAATTAATCAATTTGATTGCGATGACGTCCTTTTTGACCCTCGAATTTCCAGAGGTCTTTTCTCATTGAATAAAGCTTTTTATAGAAAATTTTAGCAGTTATTCCAAAGCTCAAATCTCGAGGATTCACGGACTTTACTTGGTTTTTTGAAAAGCCTTTCTAGTACGCTGTAATAGCAAAGATAAAATTATTCTTCACACTCGGTTTGCCTTCTTTGTTCACCAGCTAAAGTCTGTGGATCGTTTTTTATTGCACTACACTAACCTCACTCGATAGTTCAAATCTCGGCAAAATTGAAGCTCAAATTGATTCTCGAAAAGGTTTTCGAAGCACGCTGTGAGAGCGCAATCAAAGTCACGTTTCACATTGGGAGTTTTCTTTGCACGTAGCGGCTATATATGCACAAAAAGTATACAGACATAGAGAAAATCATATCCTCTCGCGATGTTACAAAGAAGCCAAGGGTTTTCTCTGGACGAAGAGAAAAAAAGCCTTTGGTGAAGATGAGATCTCTGTTGATGAATGAAAATTGCGGGCCGCTGCCGCTGGCGATATCGACTACGCTGCCGTCTTTAAAGGTAGAAGTAAGAATCTACGCGAGCGCGCTTGGGCTTGGACTTCACCTGAATCACCTGTCGTCCCGTTGATCGTCGAGTGACTCGAGCGGGTACCAGCAACTCTTCCATTTTTCCCTATCGCGTGCAAGAGTAGCCCAGTGGGTCCTCCTCGCTCTAGGAATTCGCTGAGCGTCATATCTTTCTTCTATCGCTTTCGTGAAGAAATCGGACCAACGGGTCAGTGCTCTTCCTTTAGAGTGCTTGGCGTCCCGAGGAATCCAGTCGGTAACGGCTCTCGTCCATCGGTTGTCGTTGAAGCGCATCACGTGTCCGGCCCACCTTATTTTCGATATCCTGACGTGTAGAACGGCGTCTCTGATTTTCGATCGGCTTGGTCTTAGATTCAAAAAAGCTAGTGGAATCACAGCTCTTCACTGGCGTCGTCTTGTAGTTTTCAGCAAATAGGGAATTCTTAAAGAAAAATTATTTCCGATCTTGATTGGCTCAGTCTGGACTGATCTGAGCTTAAGACTTCATTCAGTCTCATCTATGATAATCTCTGATCTATATTAGATACATCAACACCATATATTGTTGAGTAACGTTTGTGGCGCAGGGGTCAGAAGTGCTCTGCGTCGCACACCTGGTTCATGGCTCAATGTTGCGTTCAAACCTATCCAAGCCTTTCATCCCTCCGATGTCGGCATATTGGTATCAGACTTCTCTGCGAGAAGAGACCGACCCGTTGGTTCGATTTCCTCACGAAAGGCATAGAAGAAAGATATGGTGCTCAGCAAATCCCTGGAGCAACGAGGACCCACTGTGCTACTCTTGCTTGCGAAAGGGAAAACTGGAAGAGTTGCTGGTACCCGCTCGGGTCACTCGATGATCAACGGGGCGACGTGATACAGGTGACTCGATACATCGAAATGCCACCGCGAGTCATTGTAAAGGCCAGAGATGCATTCAACCACCTCAAACGATGCCGTGGAGTAGAATGCATGGTACATCCCTTAGAAATTAGTCAACGCCCAGAGCTTTCTACTCTTATTTCTGGAGTTTTTTGGCGCTATACTTTACCTATATGTCCTATTGGTCTTCTTTGAACCTCGTAGAATACTGGTTGACCGCGTCTCCTTGCAATCTTTAGGATAGTCTGGCTGTGACGTTCCATGTGGCGTTCGTTGTTGACCGCCGGAGAGTGTTGGAGGTTGGGTCCCCCCCCCCCCCCCACACGCGCCTTGACGAGCATCTCAGCCATTCGGCCATTCCCTGTTAAAGATTCACTGGTTATCTATTATACTTCGTGTTTTTTTTTTTGCACGATCCGTTAATGAATGTTACTGTGTGGATCTAAGCACTTCTTGCATTTGACTCATTTTTTCTGCATTCATCGCTTGCTTGGAACTTTGTCTACGTCACGATCGTCGCAGAATACTGGTTGGGTGGTTCACCTTGCAATCTTGAGGATAGCCTGGCTTCGGCGTTCCTTAGGGCATTCGTTGATTGAATGCTGCAGACCTGGGGGGGGGGGGTTCAGTCCCGCACTGAGCGTTGCCAACCAGTCGGCCACAGCCCGTCATCAACCACTATTGGTTTTATTATCTTATGAAGTTGAAAAAATTTACACTTTGATGCATCTCCAGTGAATTGTACTAAGATCTTAGTTTTGATTTTTGGCCTACAAGAGTTCGTTCCGGACTATGGATTACTACGAAAAAATCGCATATTTATGTTCACCCATTTGAAAGACCGGTTCTCGCAGATTATGCTGTGCGAATCTCGGCACTTTTCACATTGAAGTCGTTTCCTCGAATCCAAAATTCAGAAACGTCATTGAACATGAATCCGCTAATGTTGAGTGATATGCAAAACCATGAGCCTTTGACGGGAATCGAACCCGCATTGCATCCTTTTCGGTGAGCGCTTGTGAACCAATTGCACTGTTGAGGCTCCCAGTCTTTCATTAGTATTCTTGTGATCTACCTCTCCTTTGTACGTTTACGAACGTTGTAGAATGCTGATCGTGACGAGATTTTTTTTTTGCGGTTTTGGAGAGCGCCGATTTAAGGTGTTCCGTCCCTGAAGTGTTTGTTTATTTCTCATAATTATTATTTGAACCAATATGTCATCGTGGTCTGTTATGGGCCCTTGTCCAGCCCGATGCACCCGATGCATGTGTTTCGGCCTTGTAGCCTCGTCAATCGGGCAGGCTCTTCGTCTTTAGCCAATCCTT